TGGGGCAAAATGCTGACTCTGTAAACCGCTTAGAGAGGGCTGAAAGCCCTAGGAAGCGGTATATAAGTCTAACTGCTATTTCTTATCATAGTGAAAGAACAATAAGATGTAGCATTAATCTTCCTAACAACAGAGCCATACAGAAATTAGTTGTTCAGGTTTTAAATCATATTAAAATAACAGAAGCCAAATAAATACTTGAAGCCTGGAAAAAATAAAATGAACATGAAAAAAGAATATGAAGAAGGCACTAGATGAAGGGGTGGTGGTGGATCCTACTTGGTAGCCACTTTTCAGAGCCTGGATGCTGTCTCCTTCTAGAAGGCAGAAGCTGAACAGGAACTCCAGATCCAAGCCTTCTCTGAATATCATCCCTACAGAGATCAGATTGGCTCAGAGGTGGGTTCCTACCAGTTCGCACCTATTCGGTAGAATCGGTTCATCAAATCTACCGAACCGGTTAGAAGAGGTTCCATCAGTGGACCCGGAAAGCAGGCCACACCTACAGAAGAGGTTCCGAAAATTTTTGAAACCCACCACTGGATTGGTCCCAACCCTGCCAGCTTTTCACAAGGCCTGGAAAACATGGTGTGGTAAACCTTGCAGTAGCTATAGCAATAGCAATAGCAGTTAGACTTATATACCGCTTCATAGGAGAGAACACATGGCCGGCAAGCCACTCCCACCAGGTCACATGGACGGCAAGACACTCCCACAAAGGAGGCCACACCCACAGAGTAGGTTCAAAAAAAAATTGAAACCCCACCACTGGTCCAATTCCATATCAGTATTACTTCTCATTGGAAAATGTTCAGTTTGGGTTTAGAAGCATTTCAAAATATTTTTTTTCTTAATTGGTTGGTCAGTAATATATACCAACAACAATATTGTTTGTACTTGTTCCTCCATCTATGTTCCTCCATCTACGGTACTGCCAAATTCGTTCACCTGGGTTTCTAAGCAAGAGTGAAATACTACTAACAGTCCCTCTTCCCTCCCAATTGATTCTGTTCTTTTTTAAATAGATTGTATCTTTCAACTTAATCACACCAAAGCCAGTGGAACATTGTTCTTAAACCTTTCCTAAGGTACAACTGCAAATTTAATCCTACATGGAAGCTCTGAACTGTCTCTTTCAGATGTGTATTGAAACACGTTTGCCCATATCTAGGGGTTTCTCTCCTCTGGATGCAATGCAGAGGCAAGCAACTATTTGATTTTCGTTCTTAATTTTTATAACATTCTATCATCTTTTTATAATCGAAATCCCAAGCTGCTGTTAAAACAACTCTGTTAATGGATTAAATCAAGCCGGATTGGCTTTTCATCTTTTCGGTTCCTTCCCTCAGTGCTTTATTCTTTTCTGTTGAGCAGATGGTTGCATTTAAAGCTTAAAATCCTGCTTTTAAGGCTGCGCCCAGATCTGATGGAAATATGTGTGTATCCAGTAAATGCAATGGTTGAGCCAAATTGGATGCCTCGGTGCTGAAGAATTGTGAAACTGGACAGCATGGATTAAGTTGTAACGTTTTGTAACTTTAGCTTACGTTTGATTTAGCCCGTCATTGTTCCCTGGGGAGGTCATTTTAATAGCTGTGCTCAAGTGAAGCGGAAAAGACATTGTCAATATACAAACACCGAAAAGAATTTCCCAAGAAGGCCGAACCTTCTGCAGGGCAGAGCTGAAGTTGCAGGCTCATTTCAGTTCTCTGGATTTTATTTGGATAATAAGAACAGGGAGAGGTCTGAAAAAGAAAAGTGTGTGTCAGATGTGGATGGGCACCTTGTTCATCCTCCTGCCTTGTTTTCCATGTGTCCCCAAAGGAAACAAGCCATCAGCTAAAAGAAAAGAGAAGAAAACAAAAAAAGAAGAGGAAGAAAAAAAGAAAAGGAAGTGTACACATTCCTCTAGGTGTGGTGACTTGGAATCATGGGAACTGAAGTTCCAAATAATTAGGTGGCACCAGTGGTGGGGTTCAAATAATTTNCTTTTTTACATCATGGCGACCAAAACTGAATGCAGTATTCCAAGTGTGGCCTTACCAAGGCATTATAAAGTGGTATTAACACTTCACGTGATCTTCATTTTGTCCCCCTGTTTATGCAGCCTAGAACTGATAACAGGCAATTTCCTAATATAATTTGTTGAAGAAATGTGATAACATAGTATTCTTTTAAAGGTGCTAACCACAAGATGAGCTATTCCTTTGCAAGAGGAACACAATGGTTACGGTATTCCTTTGTCTTCCATTGCCCAAAACTTGCTAGAGATTGCTGTCTTGAAGTCTGCTCAAGAGGAGCAACTGTCTAGACCACTTCTTTTGTCCAGAGATGTTTGAAGAGCAGGTCTTCAGTCTGACTTTTCTTCCCCCTGGTTTATTCAGTGTTTTATCCAGAATATTTACTAAACATGAAGTCTATTAAATAGTTAGTGCTCTAATTATTTTTTCTTTTATATTTAATCTATAAAATATTATATTTAAATTTTACTTTTTTTCTGCAATATATTTTGGCTTGGCACATTTTATTTTCTGACATTGGCTTAATTGCTTCTTCTGGGATCAATACAGATTTGAGTGATTGAGGGATAGTGATAATTAATTGTATAAAAACTTCTTACATTTCCCAAACAAACTAATGTCATGATTTGTGAAAAACCTAAGTCATTTTTATCTTCAAACCATCAGGAATAGACAGCCCTCACTAAACATGTTTTCTATTACTTCTGTAGTATTTACCCAGAAGTAGAGTATAGCCCTTTCTATTGTGGAACTAGTAAATAATAAGTATGATAATCCATTTGAACCATTTATAATGCTAGTGTTGTTTTATTATGGAACAGGTTTTTATTCTGAGGCAGATGTTCCTGGCACGGCGAGAATGGAGGTGGCTGTCTCGCTGCTGGGCCTCCTGCTTTGGGTCTCGGGGTTGGTGGAGAGCGCCGCCGAGCCCCCTCGGGACTCCCTGCGGGAAGAGTTTGTGCTGAGTCTGCTGCCTTCCGGCGACATGGCTGCCACGTTCCAATTCCGCACCCGCTGGGACTCGGACCTGCAGCGTGGCGGCGTCTCCCATTATCGGCTGTTCCCTAAGGCTCTGGGCCAGCTTATTTCCAAATATTCAGTGCGCGAGTTACACCTCTCCCTCACCTGACTTTTGCTTTCAGATGTTAAATTAATATAAAACAAGGCTTTGGTTAGTTTACTTTTCTTCTCCTAAAAGCAAGACCACTTATATTTTCTGTGGATGAACTTCCTTGTTTATGGACTAAGGCAGTGATGGCTAACCTTTTTGTCCTTGCATTCTGAAAGTGTGTGTGTGTGCGCGCGCAACAGTGTGCCCACACCCATAAAGCAATATGTGAGCAACACCACCCATGTGTCCCGCCCCCTGCACATGCATGCATGACCCCCCTACATGTGTGTGCGATCCTCCCCATTGCCCATTTTGGGTCTAGCTGGCTTCCCTGAAGCCTCCTGGGACCAAAAACATGGTGTGGGGAAGGCGCTGCACCACTTGAGCTCCTACCCCATGAATGACCCCCCCCATGCCTCATGTGTGTGCGTTTCCCACATGCACAGCAGAGACTCAAAAATGATCTGGCCAGCTGGAGGCACACACATGCGCAGTGGAGCTGAGCTGGGTGATGGCTCGTATTCCTGTAGAGAGGGCTCCATGTGCCACCTCTGTCTAAGGAATTTTGAATAACTATTTATTTATTTTTATTCAGTGATAATCATAATACTATACTCTGAAAACCTACCAATTTTTAAAAAAATAATTCACTTTAATGATGATTAAAGATTAAGATTGTCAAAGGGGCATCCATTGTGCTAGATATCCATTCTTCTTATCTATCTGTGCTGGAGACTGTTCAGAATAGATATTCAACAGATTAGGCTAGGATATTGAATATGGCTCACTGTTTTAGCTGTCATTTAATGCTTGAAGCTGCAATGTGTCTTGCAAAAGATACACTTTTGATATTCAGTATATTCAGTGCTTTAAAAATGCAATACCATCACAAATTGTAAAATTAAGATCTGAGTATGAACAATAATAACAGAGTTAAGATGGTGTTACCACATTTGTGACTTGATAATCTGAATGTTCTTCTGAGTGGCTCTTTTGTGCCGATCAATACAATACAACAGCAGAGTTGGAAGGGACCTTGGAGGTCTTCTAGTCCAACCCCCTGCCTAACCCCCTACACTGTTCCAGACAAATGGCTATCTAACATCTTCTTAAAGACTTACAGTGTTGGGGTTTTCACAACTTTTAGAGGCAAGCTGTTCCACTGATTAATTGTTCTAACTGTCAGAAAATTTCTCCTCAGTTCTAAGTTGCTTNTTCTTTGTCTTTTGCATAAGCCAAAGCTTTCACATAATCCTAAAACAAAACAGACATACAGAACTAAGTACCAGGATACTGATGTGGCACCAGAAGTATTATCTTACTGCATTTTTCTACTTTACCTTATGGGTTCGTAGGGTTGACATGCAAAACCCCTTGTGTGCGTTCCATACTTTAACAGTAGTATCAGATGAGGCAGATATCACTATAAAAATAAAATGGATTGTTTGTCTTGATGGTAAGTAACAAGAGAAATTTGTTTACCACTAAAACACAGAATCACTACTAGTGATAACTGCTCAGAAATATATGCAAGAGCTAATTAATGGAAGCATGTCTTTGGAACTCTATCTCCGGAATTCAATATCTGATTTTTTTTACATTAGTGGTGCTAATATCAGGGAAGCACTTCTGTTGTTTGAGAGATTCTTTTTTATTGGGTATTTCATTTTGTCATGCTTTATGACACTTGGCAACATTATTTTAAAATGTTTTTGCAGCTTTATTTTTCTAGTTTGTTAACATAACTTGAAAATGGCTTCCACTATGTTTGTGAAGTATATTAAATGTTGTATATTAAATGGAACTTTACATGACTGCTATAAATTAAAAAGGGGCCTATGAATGCAAGGCGAAAGATTATGCAAATACCAAGCACTGAGATACCTGACCCACGTCATTCTGTTACATCATATAGTATTCAAAAGGTTACTTACAAGTTTTGCCATTGCAACAAAGTACAGTATCATTCACCCAATCTGTATGATGTTCCATTGATGCTATATAGGGGTCTTGCTGGAATTAAAAACAATATTTTGAGTTCTAATCCTGTGTCGTAAGAATTCTCTTGAGACTGTTATGACAAGAGGCAACTTCACCTACACTGTGTGCACAATTATTAGGCAAGTTGTATTTTGGAGGACTAATTTTATTATCGAACAACTACTGCCTGACCAATCCAAAATGTTAATAAACTTCAAACCTCAATATTTAAGAAAGTAAAAGTGAGGTTTTGACTTTCTTAGAAGAATATCAATTTGTGCACAACTATTGGGCAACCATTATTGTTCAGAATTATTATGCAACTAAATGAAAAATGAAAATTTGCCCATCTCACTCATTTATTTACATCTGTTAAAGTGAGAATAAACAACAAACTCAAAATGTACAAATAAACATTTTTTTAAAAATCAGTGACCAATATAGCCACCCTTCTTTTTAATGACAGTCATAAGCCTTCCATTCATGGAGTCTGTCAGTTTCTTGACCTGTTGATGATCAACTTTTTGTGCAGCAGCAACCACAGCCTCCCAGACACTGTTCAGAGAGGTGTACTGTTTTCCTTCACCATAAATCTCCCATTTAAGAAGGGCCCACAAGTTCTCAACAGTGTTTAGGTAAGGTGAGGAAAGGGGTCATGTCATTATTCTTTCATCTTTAAAGCCTTTACTAGCTAGCCACGCAGTGGAGTAGTTCAATGCATGCGATGGAGCATTGTCCTGCATAAACATCATGGTGTCAGCGTTCCAAATATAATCCAGAATTAAATCAGAGTCCAAGGCATAGCTTTCCTCAAAGTTCCAATTTAATAAGAGAGACATGTTGGAAAGCTTCCTGGGTTTCCACCCAGTTGAAAGTTCNTTACTGAAACAAAGCCAGCACTCCACACACCCCCACCAAGATTTATAGAAAGACGGCAGCTCCGACCATGCTTTACTCACACAAAAACGAAGCCGAAAATACCAACCTGAAGATGGCGAGTGAGACCTCGCCGAAACGTTGCCAAGACAATCTCAATCTTACATGGGAAAAGACCTGAATATATATATAGATTTTCACGGGTGTAGGCATGCTGATCTTGTTGTATTCGGGTCTTTTCCCATGTAAGATTGAGATTGTCTTGGCAACGTTTCGGCTAGGTCTCACTCGCCATCTTCAGGCTGGTGTTTTCGGCTTCGTTTTTGTGTGAGTAAAGCGTGGTCGGAGCTGCCGTCTTTCTATAAATCTTGGTGGGTGTGTAAACCAGAGTCGTACCTCCAACTCCGTTGTATGATTTGCCGTGACTCGTGCCAAAAAAATTCAATTCGGCCTCAATTTTGAAATCTTGTTTGTGATTGCACAGTTTGACAAAATGTTTGTAATTATTGTATTGCGCCGCTGAACTGTCACTAAAGTAGTATATTCTTGTAATCTTTGTTTTAGTCCTCAAAAACTCAACTTCTGAATGAACACGTGCACGGAAACGATATGTTGCATATGATCAAAAATTATGCAATAGTTGACAATATGCAGTGCGCCATCTTTATCGACATAATAAGCGTTGAACGGATGCACTGTGCTTGCGAATTCTCCCAGTGAAAACCTTGAGCAGCATCTTGGACAACAAATGAGTAATTGTCTGCAAAATCCATCAGTACAATAATTTCGGTTTCTTTTAGGCCGGCTTTCAACAACTTCAAATATTCGCTTTCATGCTTTGAAACGAAGTGGTGGTCAGTCAGTTTCCACATTTTGTTCGTGAGTTTTTTGATGAAGCCGTCAACAGTGAGAACATCTGTTTCCAGCATTTTGCAGTCAGTATGAACCCATTGTTTGAATTCTATTGATTCGTCTGAATCCCAGTCCTCAAATATTTTGTCCAAATGCAATATCAGTGCCTCTTCACCAGGGCAGTTTTGGCATGGGTATAACATACAATCTTTGGTGTTCAGATCGCAAACTACCTTTCCCAAGAGTAGCTTGTAGTCCTCTTTAATGTTGGAACCTTGTAGCATAAGTTTAACGTTTTGATCAATGGTGCAGACACAGACGGAATGTGTGCCTGAGGCACAGATGGTGATACACCAGTTTGGTCTTTATGGGCCAATGCAATATAATAGTAGTAATGATGTCTATATAAAATGACCATAGCACCATCCTCAACTTTGTCCCTATTTTTAGGTTTTTATACATCAGCGATGAAAAACCAACCGTACTTTTTTAGGGGGGTTGAAACATGCTCTTTCTTAATGAGAATATTTTAACAGTTTCCAGGTCTTTTTTTGTAAAAGTGAGATGAAAATACCCTATTTTTGGCATTTTTACAAAAAACGTCAACTTTACACTCAATTTGTGAACTATTGGAAAGCAGTAGGAGAATGACATTTTATATTCAAAAACCCTGTGTTGCTAAGTTATTATGCAGAAAGTTTCACATTTATCATGCCTTTCCTTCCAGAGATATAAAAACCTAAACATTAACCTTTTTTCGAGACGCAGTAATTTTCGGCCAACTTTGCTCCAAATTATCTAGATGGAGGTCAGTCGTGAGAATGTTTTTATTATTTTGTTTAATAGAACACAAACAGTTGTACAAGATGGCCAAGTTTTGTTTCTCTGAACAAAATATTGCCGGAGATATTATGTCTCAAACTTGCTGGAACCTCAGAGTCATACTGTAAAAGGCTGCGGTATGGGGTCAAACAAATGACTTTATCTCCGCAAGTATTGCATCGGCAAACATTAACAGTTTACCAATGTTCATTGGGGACGTGTGTGCATGTTCACACCAAATTTCATCAAAATCCGTGATGGTCGAGCTTGGCACTTTTCTGAAATCAGACCCCTTGACATGGAATGATCCTTCTGTTCCTTCAAAAGTCTTGATTGATGCCATATTCTTCAAACAGAATACACATAGTCCTCAAGGTACGAACCTAATTGAGTCTGCCCATTAGGTTTGTAAGTCAAAAAAATCATCAAATCAATCAGACTCAATTTTACAAATTTTTAAAATCAAATTGATTAATTGAATCAAA